ACCTAATCACAAAACAAATCCAGAGACAAACATACAAACCCTAAATATATTGACTTGCTCTTTACCCGATAACTCTGCCTGTGATGATTGATGTCTGCGAGTTGATCTATTTATTATTCCCTCTATTCCAATTTAATAGACTTATTTTTCTTTTTAGAATATTTTAAAATTTAGTCTCACTTCCAACAATTAATTAAGTTTTACTATAAATTCTTTAATCTTTCTACTTTCACTAAAATCAAGTACATTTATTAATTTTAACAATTACTTTTTCATATTAACTTATAATTCACTAGTCATTAATAAGGATATAATAAAAATTTCATTTAAAATTAATCACATAAACTACATCACTCACTTTTTTTTTTTAATTTTCGTATATATGTAAATGAGCCTTTTAAATTGGAACAGAGGGAATTACAAATTACTGCAAACATTGCCATTTTAAAATAATATTAGGAGTACTCACTAACCTTATACAGTCCCGACTAGCTAAAGTGTGTAATAATCCTGGCCAAAAAAATAAAAAGAAAAATAGTTACTCAGCTAGTGCAGTACAGTTTAGTGGTACGGTACCCAATTATCGAGAGTTTTCCACCCATTCACTCCATTCCATTTAGTATTTCATTAGTACCATTAGTCCCCTGGATCTCATTATGAATCACAGTGTAGCAGTGCACCCTTCCCTATCTTAATTTTGAAAATATATTGAGTTTTTATCTCTATTTGTTTATTTTTTTATTATAATTTTTTCAAATTATTTTATTATAAATTATCTCATCTTAACCTATCTTTTTACATTTATAAATAATTAAATTTTGAAAAATTAATGTGAGTTATGTTTTTTGGGACATATACACAATATATAGTATTATTCATCATCCCTGAAAACAAAGCTAATCCCAACGATGGCGACAAGGTTGAAAATTGTAATGTGAAATGTGGATGGCTAGATTAGATTTCAATTATTTCTGCTATATTCTTTCTTCTACATAAGTAAAGATAGTAGTAGTAGAGTGTATAGAGAACTGTATATGATGATGAGAAATGAGATTATAGTAGTTTAGGAATTGAATCAAAGATTTCAACCTACTACTCCTGGTCCAGAAAACAAAAAAATAAAAAATAAAAAATAGGAAGCCTACCAAATTAATCTTAATTAAATGGCTTCTCACCCAACGATTGTCGATGAGGGAAAAAATAATAATACAAATTATATTGCCCAATTCGGCCGCGATGGGGTTGGGGGCTCTTCTTCCAAATAATGGCTACTGCCAACCTTCAACTCTCATTAACTACTGCTGCTACGAGTAAATTATCTTTATCATTTCCACGAATTCCTAACAATTTTTGCCTCAAATGATCGTGTATTTACACCCCCAACGCTCTCCCCCCACCCAAATATAAAATAGAAATTGGTCATTTCCTTCCAGTAAGTGAAGAAAATGCCAAAAAAATAAACGAAGAATTCATGTTGTTGAAGTATTTCATTCTATCTTAAAGATATAATTTATTTTTCTAAAAGATATGAGGTCTATTTTTATTATTTAGGTTAAAAAGCATGAGGTTATTTTTTAAGTTGGAGAGTATCAGCTTTTTCTGAAATGTTGGGATCTTTCCTTTTTTTAAAAAAAAAAAAAAAAAAACCGCTGAAAACAAAATACCACAGGTAAGCTAGCTAGTAAATGAAAAGACAATAGTAACGGGAAAAGAAAAAGGAACCTGATTGGTATTTTTGCATTACCTCATTTACTTAGGATTGAAGTTTGCTTCCCCAACAGAAAAAGAAGATAGGAAATCCTTTATATCACCACAACTATCTCAAGTATTGATGTCAAACTTTCATGTTAGTTTTGTTCTCTCTTTTTTCTTTTTTTTTTAATCGCTACCCGCAGTAAATGAAACTGTGGAAGAGTCATTATTGACAATTCTTTTAGTTTTTTACTAATAATGGATTAGATCAAAATGAATCATTTTCTGACACTTCTTAATTTGGTAAAATTATCGGAAATCAATATATCTTTTGTCATTAATTTTTTTTTCTCATATTACGCATGGTATCTCAAGTGCATTACACTCAAACTAATCTGTACCGAATTGAGTCGGTCTCTTTTCGAAAGGAAAACTCTTCTAACATTGCTCTTTTCATTCACGAGACTCGAACCTGAGATCTCATTTAAGGGAACTAAAACACATTACTACTTTGGTCAAGCAAGTGTTGACTTTGCCATCAAATTTCTCTCATGATCATCCACTCTCTTTACTGGGCCACTGTAACCATCCCTCCCCGTTCTCGGACTCCCACTGCTGCGTACCCAATGTTACCTTTATTCTCTCCCCATTCCGGCCCAACACATTTTGTAAATTTTGTATCCATATATCCACCACTTTTTTTTTTTCACTTTTCTTTATCTCTTCTCTTTGTTCCTCTCAAATTTTATTATTCTCCTTCCGACTTATTTTAATATTTTACTTTATTAAACGATTTTGATTCAAGATTCAAATAAAGTTAATCATTAAAATGTGATTGATGATGACAACTTAATCTTTTTCTTATTTAAAAAAAAAAACTCACAACATATTGTAAGGTATAATAAATTTGTGGTTCACAATATGCACCAGTCAAACATGTATTACATTTCGTGTATGTTTTTGTAACTTTTTAATATTTCCAAATACAAGTTAAAATTTTCCCCTCCCCCTAACAACTCAAAGTCTCAGACACAATGCATACATAACGAGTCCGTATCCAGTGCACCTAGGTATACCGTATACCCCCACCAAACACACGCGTTACACGCGCTCAACATTTTTCATCTTTATATTCAATGCTGGTTATCCACCCATTTCATACTGGTTATCCTATGATGTTATCCTGCTTATCCAATATTTCTTTGCTGATTATCCAATGCTCTGTATTGATTATCCAGGACTTTTGTACTGTTTATCCAGCCAATGTACAGCAATATCCAACCGTTTGTAATCGTTATCCAGGATCTTTGTACTAATTATCCAACTTGTTACACCTGATTATCCGAATATTTTATAGTGATTATCCAGTTAAAAAAATGCAAGTACAATCTTTAACCTGAATATCCATGAGTTTATACTTGTTATCCAAAACCTCAATACTGTTTATCCATATGTAACCAATGCTTATCCACCATGTGGACATAACAAAATAAGGATTCAGAGAGGGCTTCCAAAAAGATATAACAAAAGAAAATATCCATAAGAAAATGGCTATCCAAATGGCATGTTCATTGGGGGGCTTCGCCCCCCATGATAAACTAAACGACTCCCGGGGCTACCGGAATCGCAGGTCACCAACCTGCCCCGGCTGCGCCGCCTCGCCAAACACACCAATGTAGCTAAGGTAATCCTTTTTCGTGTGTGTGTAAGGAAAGTGTGTGTGTAAGGAGAGTGTGTTATTGCGTTAAGAGGGGACACAAATTACTTGTATAAATCCCCCCGTGATAAACTAAACGACCCGGCTGCGCCGCCTTTCGTGGTTGCGTCGCCCCCATGCCTAACATGGCAAATTTTATAAATAGTATTTAATTGAATGAGGGGAAGTTTGCTAAATGATGGAGAACAAAAAATGAATAAGGGACAGCTTGATAACCAGTGTAAAAAATACGGACAAGGATATCCAAGAAAAATATAAAAGGAAAAAAATGAAATTTTGCAACTAGTTATCCAGCTGTGTGTAACTGGTTATCCATAATGTGCACACTGGTTATCCACTATGTCCATACTGGTTATCCAACAGGTTAATAATGGTTATCCATGTGTGTGTAACTGGTTATCCATAGTGCCAACACTGGTTATCCACATGGTGAACACTAGTTGTTCATAGTGTGGAAGGGAAATTTATATATGCCGCGTTTAAAAAATAAAGAAAAAGAAGATGAATTATCTAGCGAACTCACGCTATTCTAATAGAGTAAAGTACATGCGTAAGGGGATACACGGTGCCCTCGGGTGTACCAGATAATTTGCCTACATAACAACATAGAACAAAAATTACCACAACCATTCTTGTTTTAAATTTGAAGGATTTTGTAAAAGTTTGGGATATTTTAAAAAATTATAAAAAGAATTAAATTTCCACTATTTACCACCACCAGGCGATGACAACCCAATCGGATCCCGGTTAATTTGGTCGAAAGATTGTCAGAATTTGGGATCTCGATTAATTTGGTCAAAAGATGGTTAGAATTTGGTCACCGACTGGCATTAGTCGACGGTCTCATAATAACAGGTAATGATTATTCAAAATAAATAAGATAAATTTTGAGATAACATTTTTAAATTTGAATAAAAAAGTTGTATTAATGTTAAATTTTTTGTCTAGAGCTTTAACTTTAAGAGAGATAAGGAATAAAACCCAAAAAAATCAAAGCATATTCTTCTACATGCTAACTTTGTAAATCGAACAGAAATACTATATATAAGAACGTTGCGAAATCTGCGACAAGGAGGTTCCATGGTCTAGCGGTTAGGACACTGGACTCTGAATCCAGTAGCCCGAGTTCAATTCTCGGTGGAACCTTTTTTGCGGTCTTTTGATTTTCATACTTTTCTTTTTAGGGTGTGTGAGATTTATTTTCTTTTAGTAAATTGAGGTAACAAATAAATGGCACATTTATGGTTTTTTGCTAATGTAATGAATAGCAAATAAATCTAGTAAGGCGAAAAATGTGCTAAAATTTCATGAAGTTACACTAACAAGAAAAACTTCAAATAGGAGTACATATGAATTTCAATAAAAATCTCAAAACTTCAATATATATAGGCAAATTAATAAACTAACAATATTTGTTTTTCTTTTTTTAGTTTAAGTAACACTCCAATGAATGGGCAACAGAAACAAAAATACAACTCCCCTATTGGCCAAAATTCACTTGTGCGCGAACAGTAATTGTTAAAAAAACAACCAAAGTCAGTAATTAATTGCTTATTAACTTCTCTTGTCCAAATCCGAAGATCCTAATATAATCCACTTCCTAGTATTACTCGCTTTCCGGTCAGAAAATATATTTCATACAGTCCAACCCGCAGGGAAGCTGCTACTTTCGATTTTCAAAATCTCAATTGAAATAACCCCTCTTTCTGAAAAGTCGCCAAATTTTTTCCTTTCCACAGCTTAGTTCGTTGTCAGTTAGTCTGTTGGTTATGGAAGGGGAAGAATCAATCCCTGACAGCAAACGTAGGAGAATCGAAGAAACAGTGGTGAACATCCTCAAAGAATCCGACTTGGAAACTGCCACCGAGCATTCCGTCCGAGCCGCCGCTTCCCAACTCCTCGGGTCCGACTTATCTGACGGACCCGACAAATGGGTGGTCAGAAGGGTCATCGAATCTTTTCTCCTCTCCACTGCTGCAGACATGGTGGCATTACTCCCACCAGCCTCCAGTGGTATCAGTGATGGCCGGGTCATCTGTAAAGTGAGTTGTTAGGTTGTTAGGTTTTTAGATTTTGTTTCCTTTCTTTCTTGTTCTTTTAGCTTCATTTAAACTGAGTCTTATGAAATTTTTAATTGTGGGATTTACAAAATCCCCTTTCTTGGATACGTTTCGAGTGAATAATTGTAAGTCAAGTGAGATAATCAATGCTGATTATTAGGGCGGATTAATTGTGTTACCTGTTTGCAGTTAGCCACCCTTTGATTCTAATGATAGGGATTGTTGGGGGATTTGCGATGACTGCTTGATTTTTGGTTTTAAAAATGTGGGCTTGACTAGACTCCAGTTCCCTCAATGAGGCTCCTTTCTTCTTTATTTCCACAAGATGGAAACTGTCGGATTGAAAATTAACTCTTTGTTTGTAGTATCTGTTCGGTACAGGGATGAATCTTGGACATGTGTGTGTGAAATTATAAAGTTCTCTTTGGTGATTTTTGTAGTGAAGTGAAGGATCCAGGCTTATTCCATTAACTTAAATCATAGAATCTACTTTGAAGTTGCTAATTTTGCTTAGTTCCATGACATCTTCGTATGTTTGTTCTGTCCCTTTTTGTGCTTGTTTTGTTCCTTTTAATGCCCTGGAGAATGATAAAGGGGTATAGTTTCAGTTCAATATTTAGTCTTGATTTGTAGTTTGAGTTAGTGCACTGGTTTTTGAAGTCCCTCCAGGTCAAAAGTGTTCAAAAAACTGATTATCTGACCAGGTTTTGGATCCGTGACGCTTATGAATGTCTTGTTTGATCTGCGTTCCTTGTTTGAGTCCTTCTCTGTTTGTGGCAAAGAGGGGGATTTGCTCCCTGTCAAAGTAGGGTTTTCTTTTCTTGCCAAGCAACTTTAAGAAACGGCAACTTAAGTTGCTAGTTCGAAGTTTCCTTGCATGATTCTGATTTCTGTTATCAATGAGGTAATATTGATATTACGTTTTCACCACAGAATACAACCATGGGATCAGTGGGTTGCCTAAAATTTACTGAATGCTTTTTCTTTTCTTTTTACCCCCCTCTTTTTCCCGTATAAAGCTAATGAACTTTCCCTTACAAGGTTTTCGATTTTTCCAATTTCTTTTGCAGTTATCAGACAAGAGGAATGTAGCATTACATGATTATAACGGGAAAGCCTTGGTCTCGATACGTGATTATTATGAGAAAGATGGAAAGCAGTTGCCTTCTGGAAGAGGTAACGTTGCTGAGCCTGATACCATGTTTTATGTTGTAAGATTTGTCATAAAATACCAAGCTTTGTGTGTCAAAGTTGATGTTGGGCAGAAGATACCTAAAACTGATTTAGGGGAAGTTCTTCTTTTGCAACGTCGTAAAAAATAAGCACTCTACTCTTTCCATGCATGCGAATAGTTTTAATGCTTTTTCTTTTATCTATTTATAAGGTTCTTGACATTTCCTTGCCCATCTGAACTTGAGTTTCCTAGGTTTTAATATATTTTTGTCCTTTTTGTACCCACTTATTTAGGTGTTAGGTACTTACGTGTAATGAATATGGTTGGAGCAGAAGCTTATACTTTTTATGATTCAACAAATTGGAAGAGTTATTTGTTAGATCTTCCAGTTTTTTTGGATTTTTTGCATGAAAGATTGCATCTTTGGAAATCCCTTAGGGGAAGGACAACATGAAACTTTGTTGTGTAGCAGGCATTTTAATCATGTAATCTTTTGTGAATCTGTACGGGGCTCCTTAGTCCTCAGTGGCAAATTTTTTTCTTGCTTGCGTAGTACGTTTTCCCTTCATTGTCCCACAATGCACATTCAGACAAACTCAAACGGATTTTTGTATTTTACTTTCCACGTAGAATAAACACCTTTGCTTTTGCAGAAATGGAGAGTATGTTTACGAAACCTTTTGCTAAATGCTCAAGAACTAAAAATTGCATACTAATAAATCTTTGTAAAATAGTAGATTTGTTTTCTGAAAATATATGCACTAATAAATGTTTGTCTGTCCCAATCAGGAATTACTTTGACAGGTAGACAGTGGTCGTTATTCAGAGACAACATTGGCGCAATAGAGAAGGCCATCTCAAATTTGGATGCAAAGATAAGGTGACATCTTATTTCCATTTATGAAGCTTGAGCTTTATATGTGAATTTTCTTAATAGTAACAAAGAAATGAGACACAGAAATGAATAAGATTTTCCTTTCTTGCTCTGATTGTGTATATTCCTTTTTTATTCGGGTTTGTTATCAAAACTTAAGATTTATAAATTCATTCAAACCAAATATAGCGTCTTCATATGGTAATGCAACATGCATATCCAGTGAACTTTATTTAAGTGGCGGTTCAACTATTTTATTCATTAAGATGATGTTATTAGGTCATCAGCTGCTGTAGTAGAGAGGAAGCAGTCAGTCACGGATGTCTTGGATACTTCATCGGGTAATGACATTGCTGCTACTCTAGGAACTGTAGCATCAGATCAAAGCAAGCAAATTACGTTGCCAAATGTATTGGTTTCTGAGGCGGCGGCTGGAGGCAGAAAAGTTGTCCCCGAGTCTGTGATAGCTCCAGAAGGAAGTCCAACACGTCCAGCAGAACCATTTCCAGTCGAATCTGTTGGTCCAGTGGATTCTCAAGGAGACAGGTCCCATAATTGGACAGCTGATATTCCTCGTCAGAGCCTGACTCCCTTGATGACTACCCGTCTAGATGGGAAAAATTACCATTCTTGGGTGCATCTGATGGAATTCTTCCTAAATCAAGTTAAGGTTGCATATGTGCTTCGTCATCCGTGTCCCAGCACTGAAAAAGCGATGAGCTTTGAGGAGGCCATACAAACCAAAGCTGCCATACGGAAATGGAATGATGATGAGTACATATGCCGGCACTACATCTTGAACTCCCTGTGTGACAATCTGTTTGTTGAATACTCAAAGAAGGGTCACAATGCCAAAGACCTCTGGGAGGAACTGAAATTGGTTTACTCAGATGAGGATTTTGGAACGGCGAGGTCTCAGATCAGCAAATATGTTCATTTTCAGATGGTCGATGGCATTTCCGTGGTTGAGCAAATACAAGAGCTGCAGAGGATTCTAAACGCCATCATGTCTTCTGGAATTTGGATTGATGAGAACTTTCATGCCAGCGTCATCATCTCGAAGCTCCCGCCTTCATGGAAGGACTACCGGGCAAAATTGATGGCTGAGGATGAAGTTTTACCGTGCAACATGCTGATGCATCGCCTGAAGCTCGAAGAAGAGTCGCGGAACCAGCGCATGAAGGATAAGCATAGTTTGGGGGTGCGGAACAATCATCAAGTCCCAAAACCAAAGAACACTCCTAGTGGAGGAGTGGCGGCGAAGAAGAAGGTAGTATGCTGCTATACATGTGGTAAGGAAGGCCATATATCCAAATACTGTCCAGATAAAATGAAGAACAATGGGATTGGTAGGAAGGAAAATGAAAATGGTGGGCAGGTTACTGATGCTTCTACCAAGGAGGAACAAGCAAAATAACAACCTCCTTTTAATAGGTTGATTGATTTTCATTGAGAGATTAGAGTTAAATTGTAGACATCATCTTGTACAAAGAAAAGGTGTTTTTTTTTTTTTTGGGATTTGGGATGTTGTTTGTGCTAATTCCATTTAGAGGGACTGACTGAAACAGCTAAATCAGGTCAGATAGTGGGGAAGACCGGAAGAGTCTTGACTCTTGATTCCTATAGTTCATACTCATATAGCACTCGACAACCACTGTTGCAAGAACAAGTTTTCATCTTTTGATTTTTATTTCCGTTCCCAATTTTGAGGTGTGGTTTCTAACTTATACACCTCAAGTAATGTTGTGCCGAATAAAAATAAATAAAAAAAAAAACCATTTACAGGGAATGGAATAAACTGAAATGGGCGGTAAAGAAGTGTGCTGGCCGGGGACTGGATTCGAAATGGGCTTCTCTCTAACTTCCAACTTCTTCGCCATTCTAGTCCATATACACTAGAACATCCACGATAAATTAATAATCGATAAATTAATTATATCAATAAATTAATAATTTTTTTCGGTCTGAAGTCGGAACCAATATAAAAAATAAAGATAATCGATAAAATAATAAGAAAATAATTTTTTAAAAAATTCCTATGTAAATATAAGTCAATATCATAAATAAATAATTACTTGAAATAAAAAATATATATGAGTTACTCCCTACATTCCAAAATAAGTGTCATCCTACACTTTGCACATAATTTAAGAAACTATTAATTAGGGTAATAAAATTACTTGAATATCCTCAACTAACTCCGTTAAAACAATGTCCACCGATGGTATTAATTCTTTTGAGGGTAATTTTAGAAACTTTGGACAAAAAATATATTGAAATGTGAGACGACACTTATTTTGAAATTTCTTCATTTTGCTAAAACGACACTTATTTTGGAACGGAGGGAGTAGTAAAATATGAATCTAGCGTTTTTGTTTTTCTTGAAATTTATATCTAAAGACATTGTAAATGTTATGATTTTTTTGCATGATATATCCAGCCATTGACGAGAGTTTAAAGATTTCTCAGAAAAAGGTCAAATCTTTTTTAACAGAGGCATGTTACGTAGATTGAGTAGGTGATAAAATTTAAGATGATGAGATACATAGAAATAAAAGAATATAAATAGTATATAGCTAAGCTTAAAAGATTAATAAGATTCTTTTGGATTTTCTTTAAATTAATAATTATTTATTTTATCGATATAATAATTTTTTAGAGTCCTAATAGTATTAATTTATAGATGTTTAAGTGTATCATCATCTGTTCGGAATGATCACATTATGTAAATTTTTTACTGAAATATAATTTATATTAAAAATGAAAATCCAAAATTGAAAAATTATTTTAGATTGAAGGGTCAGCAACTTTTGCACTTTCCTTCTCTCAAAGAAAAAATAAAATAAAATAATTATCCAAAATGCGGGCGAATCAACAAAAGGGAGGGGAAACCCCCTAACCTTAAGCTTAGGTATGCATTTTTGTGGAAGTTGTCCAAATCCAATTGGTGGGTTTGCGGTTTGCACATGCTTGATAGTTTGATTGACTCCACACTTGAAAGAGTTTGAGACACATACTGGTACCAATGTATTTGTTGAATCTTTTTTATGAGATATAAATTTTTGAAAAGAAAATGATAAATGATCGTTCTGTTATAATAATATTACTGTGATTATTATGAGTGATACTTGGACGATTACCCTCATCTTATACATAAGTAAGTAATACTACAAATAATATATTAAAGTCCAACAACCATCCCATGCTTTTTTTTTTTTAGTTTTTTTCCCTTAATAATTTGAAAACAAAGAGGTCCACTGTTTTCCTTCGTTGTTGTTTTTTTAAAAGAAAAATTTGTGGACACGCAAAATACAACTCATTTCTTATATATATGTGGTTCACTGAATCTTGTTAACTCTGAACCTTGTCCGAACATATGCAAATTGGATATTTTATTTTCTTCTTCCTTTTTTTTTTTTTTTAAAAAAAAAGAAAAACTAAAATAAAAGAAAGAATCAACAATATATAATGAACAAATAGACCAGTATGTATTGGAGATAATGTAGGTGGGTTTGGTGATGGTTAATATAAATATGAGGGAGACAATTTAGCATGGGCACAAAAGTTGAAGCAACAATCGTTTTTTAATTTATTTATTAAAAAAAAAGAGAGGAAAAGAATGGTATAATCCAAACATGTTCATGAATTTGGATAAATTTGAAGGCGGAGGTTACGTAGAATGTAAAAGTAAAGAATAATGGCATTCAGAAAGAATAAGAGAGGGGGGAATGGTGATTTCATGTGTGTTTTGATTGATTTTGGGAGTGGTGAAGTCGACGAGTGTGTGTTTAATTGTGGTTACATATGTATCACGTTTCTTCTTCCACACACTGTTCCAAACCCAAAAAAAAATACACCCTTTTTTTTAATAATCCTCTGGTGGTTAACTATTCTCTACGATCATCAATCCATGACTTAAGCGTGAGTCGACTCCCATATAATAATCAGATTAATGTGCAAAGTTAGGTATGATATTTATATTTGTAATTAAAGAAGAATTTATGACAGGACTCAGGAGGAGAGAAGATATGTTGTATCTGGTCTTTGTTCCATCCGTCTCTTATCAACACACACACACACACACACACACTCCACACCGTATAGATTAGATTGATGGATGGGATGGGAATCGGTTTCACTGCCCCTATTATTGTATTGAATCAATGTGAGAGAGAGTGTCACGCGATTTGGGTGAGTAGATAGATAGATAGATAGATAATTTCACACCGCATTTTCCACGCCTCCCTTTGTTTTTCCCAAATGTCATGTATGTATGTATGTCGGTCCATTCCCCTCAGCCCACAACTTTGTCCTGGATTGCCCAATCATTCTTTTTTTATAAAAATTGCTTTGCTTTCCCCTTTCCTTTCTTGGGGGCTTCTGTTCTGTTCGTGAAAATGACATCATTGCTGTGTTACTACTCCTACTACACACCTGTTTTTCTTTTTTTTTTCTTTTTCTTTGGCAGTGAAATAAGGAACGTTTTTAGAATGTTTGGACTCTTCAAAAAAGGAATTCTCAAATTTGCAAGTGAAATGAATCTGACATGTAATCTTAAACACCCCCACCCCCAACAAGCAAGCTCTAGTTCAATCCAAACTTAAACAGCACCTCAAACAATACAATCACTACCCCCTCATTCTGACTATATTGTGTTTTTTCCAGAAACAGAAAACAACACAATACCCGAGGCACACCACCACACATGAAGTCTTTGACAATTATCAAATTCATCATTGAGCTTAACAGTAACCAATACCACCTCCTTTCCTACGTCCACGAATTCATTGTGCACAATAAAAGAACATCAGCAACTTGCTTGTTTGTGTATACTATCGTATAAACAAAGACCAACAACAAATCAACAATACTGCTACCAATCCTAAGGTGTCATGAAAAAACACCCCCAAAAAAAAATAATTAAACAAAACTTATTGCTCTAATTTCTAGCTTCAACTACTGCTGTGTACCAAAAATCTCTGCATAAGCATTTCCATTTTTCCTTTCTTTGCACTACAATTTTATCCCCTAATAATCATAATCTCAAAAACATGATACTAAATTTTCCAAGACTAACCAGAGAAGATCAATCACAACTGCTGCGATGATGAGGCGGATGATTCGCAGCCACGAGATGAAAGTGCCGCAATCAGCTTCTCCTTCGTCAACTTCTGCTCGGATCCTAGGGATTTCACTATAAATGTATGAAATACTTTGTCACTTGCTGTGGTCAATTTAGATTCGAGCACGTTGACCTCAGCCTCTTTGAACGCCTGCACAATTCCCGCTGCAGGATGAGAATCCAGCGGGCAGCTCACTTTTACTATAACTTCATCCGCGGTAGTCTCGATATCAATCATACCACATGTTTGACCTTGCCCATGATAGTCAGAACTAGGGCTGGCTTCCGAAGAAGGCAATCCCGCATCTCTCACTCCAATTCTCTCCCTCTCGCATTCCATGTCCTTGACCTTCTTTTGTAGCTCAGTTATGTATGCGATGGCATCCCCCAAGAGCGAAGCTTTATCCATCTTCGAGATATTAGGTACAACGGCTCGTAATGCATAGAACCGCTGGTTCAGCTTTTCACGGCGCTGTCTCTCTGCCTCCACATGATTTAGGGCCTCTTCTCTTCCATTGGCAGGTTTTCGGCCACGCTTCCTAGGTCTTTTATCATCTGACAGGACAACAATGTCATCCTTACAAGAAACCTCAACATCTGAATGCTCAGAATCGATAGAGACTGGCCTGGAGGTTGTCCCTCCGGTGAAATCGATTTGCATCTTCGCAGGCTTCTTATGATGCTGAAAATTGTTGCTGAGCAGGAAGTCATTATTCCTATTTCCCTTGGCAAGTCCAAGCCCGGGCAGATTGCCTGCTTGTGTTGTGATCGGACTGCGAATTTCAACGGCATTATTACCCGGTTTGGCATGACTGAAAGGTGCCCATGAAGCCCCGTGGAGCCCATTTTGAGGATTCGGAAGAGCAATTCTGTTGGTATTAGTGTAAGCAACATCCCAATGCCTATCAACAGGCTTCCTAATAATAGAAAGCTTCTCCCTTGATTGAGGACTACTACCAAGGTTCAAATCTTGCCCAAATATTTTATGTGAGATTGATAGAGGCAAATTCCTGTCCGTTCTGTCACCTACTAATGAAGGCACCGTGGCTGCCGCCACTTGCTTTGCCCTAACTAGCGAGGAAAACGACGAGAAGGAAGATTTCACAGACTGCATCAGCTGCAGGCTTTCGGGTATACATCTAACTGAACCTAGTTCCACAACCCCAACATCGGTTGGAATCAAAACTATTGTTTGCATACCAGCAGACCTTGCAAGGAAAGACCTGACGCAGTAATCCGAGGATGACGTCAACGCATCTGCAAACCACAAATGCTTTCCAGAACCAAAAGACTTCCCTGGACCGCCTTCTCCTTTAGGGAATGAAAAGTACATGGATGCAAGGAAGAACATCTCAGTATCAGTCACCCTATCCAATCCAAAAGCGTAGCTATCTTCCTCCGAACCCCCAAAACAAGTATGCAGTTTCTGAAGAACCCTTTTTCTCATCCTCTGTTGTGTCTCATCCTCGAGCCTAAGATTAAGGATTCGGGTCACGTCAGATTCCTCCCCTTCCCTAGGTTCCCTGCAACATCCATCTCCCCACCCTAACACTAACTCTCCAGACTTAGACTTCGAAATTTGCCAGAAAATAGCGTAATTCCAGCTGAAACTCGAAGAGTTAGGACGCTCTACTAGATCGGAAAGCTTATTCTGTAAATTCTCATCATTTGCCATTGCCATCAATGAACCTTCAGCAGTGAGAGAGCTGGAAAACAAGTAATCAAAAGCCTTTGTACCCAAAACCGCAGCCACCAAAGTCTTATCTTCATCACTCCAAACCAAACCCCCCATACCAACCTCAAATTTCATCTCCAAAAACCTACCAAATCAATAACAAGGGAAATTTAAAAAGGATTCCAATTTTCAATTTCATTACCCAATCCATTGACAGCATTAGACAAAGAAATTTGAGAAAGTAAAGGGTATTCTAATTGATTGTTAAACATGCAAGTTGATTGTTTTGAAGCACTGTTACATTTGCAGCCCACCAAAAAATAAAAAAAGACAAAAAACAAAAACAAAACAGAAAATTGCAGAAAAAACCAGGACTTTGATTTTTTATCTTTTAATAGCATGAAAGAATCCCGTCCAATGAATGCTTCCCCCTCCCCCATTCCGAATTGGTCAGAACCAAACAAATTTCAGATCTCAAAAAACCTCCAAAAACTAACAAGTAAAACAGCCTAGAATCAATAACAATCCAATCGCGAATGCCTAACACTGTATAATCCAAGGTACGGAAGCTACACCGAATTAATACATAGATAACAATTGAATAATACACACCAGAAAGCAAAAAGGAGGAGCCAAAGTCGCCACCGCCTCTCTTCTGAGCTGAACTGAAGATTTATCCAGGAATAATAATAATGAAGAAAATAGCTCCGATTGGGCGAACCCAGGCCAAAATATTCCCAGGAAAAGAAAAATATATAGATAGAGAGAAGGGAAATAAAAAAATCCTTTCTTTCTATATTGCACAAGCCAAAGATACAAACTTTCAGAATTTCCCTGCAATATTTATTAAAATACTGCAAATGAAGAAATTCGAGCACGGAATAATTGATACATTGATTTTTTTTTTTTCTTTTTTTCCTTTTATATGTGAAGAAACGGGAAAATTTTCTTTGGAGGGGACTGGGAATTTTTTCTTTTTTTTGGGGCAATGAATCTCAATCCATTTTTATTTGTTTAAAGGAGTCTGAAATTGAGATGAAGAAGAAGTATGAAAGTGTTTCGTGAGGGGAGTCAACCGGTAGAAGTAAGTTCTGCGGTTAGTATGGTTAAAGTTGAGTAACCATGGTTAGCTTTAAGGAGATATATGTACACGAGTCCAAAACAGCCCATCCCATTTTTTGAGTTTGACCTCTTTTTTTTTTTTAATCTCTTTTTCTTTTTCTTTTCATGTTTTGCCCCTTTCTTTTTATTTTTGCCTTCTCTTTATTATTACTCCTGTTAGTTTTTATGGGTTATGATTTTCATCTGGACAGTTCTATGATCCTCACACGATTAACTAATTAAGCACTTCATCATTCCAAAAGAGGGAGTAAAAATTAACTAATTTTTACATTTGTTGTTTTATAATGTGCGTGGTTGTATTGCATGAAATACCTAAAATTGAAAATTTTATGGTATTTTTGTCAATATAAACCTTAAAATACATCCCAAACATAAATTAGATATCATCATTTTGATAGAAGTTTTGAAGGTGGCATCCCGACGTTTAACGTGTGAGTACAAATAAATATGGTTCTTTCACCATTTTGTTTAAGACAAAAAGTTTTTAAATATACATATGTTTTATGCCATAATATGTGCAAACTTTTTTGTGCTATTATAACATCCATCTTGTGCGAATAGCTTTTATTTCCGAGAAACAAAAATAATTTATTATCACGAGATCCAGGCAGTCATTTCGTAATGACGGGAGCTAGTTTTTTTTTTTATATTTCTTTTAAATAAAATTTACAAAATACTCTGATCAAATGGTAATGATATTAACTCCATATTGGATTTTTGCAAGAAAATAAATATATTTTAATATATATATATATAAACACACACACATATATATATAAAGAGAGTTTTCTTGCAGTGATATTAAGGATCATTTGTGACACAATCCAAGTACTTATTATAAATTATATAATTTGTGTTGATACACATACTATTCACAAATATTTTTAAACTTATATATTTTAGGACTAAGGGTTCACTTTTTTCGGGTTATGGCCTATTGATTTTAATTTTGATTATTACTCCCTCCATTTCAAAATGCAAGTCACTTTAGACTCTGCACGTAAATTAAGGAGACAATCATTCAACAATTAATTTATGTGTTAAATATTTATTCTACCCCTCATTAATTACATTGAAACTATAAACAAAACTAAATGAAAATAGATTGACATCATTTATTGAAGTTAAAGTTATAAAAAAAAAAATTTATTAATTTGCTTAAAATTTGTAAAACGACCTACATTTTGGAAAATCTGTCCAAACCTAAAACCTAGAAATTGAAATGGATGGAGTAACAATTTTAATAAAAACAATCAAATTTTAATTAAAAATAAAATATCGATATGAAAAAACAAGTAAGATTATGAAAATTATCTATATTAAAAATATGTGATTATGGTAAATATTTTAGTACAAATTATATAATTTTATAAAAAAATAATTAGATTGTGTTGCGAAGAATTGTGGATCGCATGAACGTAAGAAAAAGAAAAGCATTGCCGCCAATAATTGTTTATTAATAGTTATAATCCTTTTAAAACTATTTATTCATAAGAATAAGAACAATTAGTTAAATTATTTAGAAACATTAAAAAAATGCGATATATGTAGTGAAACGCAATAGATAAAAAAAAAATAATGAGGCATGGGTAATGATATTATAACTTCTCTATGTTTTTGGCACTTTGTCCTTGAAATTTTATCTTTTCTTAAAATTACATTTTTTTACCTTTAGTTATTTTGCATAATGCATTTTCACTATATACATTACTCCCTCCGGTCCTTAATATAAGACATTTTGATTTGTCATATATTCACCTAGTACGCACTTTTGATTGACAAAATAACCTTAAAAATATATTTTCATAATCATTATTGTTCTCTTGATTGTTATGAAATATATTTAAAGTTTTTCTTATAAAGTAAAAATACGTATTAGATGAAATCTAGGAAAAGTCAAAATGACTTATAATAAAGACGGAGGGAGTATAAGATTAGCTACTGAAATACGGGGAAAAAAAATCAATTTGTGTTCCTTAACAAGAGACAATTGAACTCATTAGGGTTTCTTTTTTTGAAAACCATTGAACTCATTAGTTATTTTTAAGGAAGGCCGCAAAGAGTGGGCTGCTGAAATTTGACATGGATTTTTGTTATTTATTACGTACTACGAATCAACCAAAAGGAAAAAACAGAAAGAAGTCAGTACATGAATTGGCATCACTGATAATGCGAAGCGTGTTTGTAGGCCTAATTAAGAATGAGTAATAATCCCACATGTGATTAGAATAATATGGGATTAAAAGAGACAAGGAAAGTGACAAATGATTAAGGAATCAATGGAGTATTCCTGAACAAATAGACTCATCGTTAAAGAAAGTATTAAAAGGAAAAAAAGAGAGAACATCCGAGGAACCTAAAAAGAGTTGCAAAGAGACATATTAAGGACAGATTTTCAAAGACAGTTGGTTAAAGCTTTAATTTAATCAGGAGTTAATGTTTTGCCTTACGAGTACAATCTAAGCTAAAGGGCAGCAAAAAGATTTGCAAATCCGAAATGGACGAGACTAGTAGTTAAAATTAATTTAATATTCTAGATTTCCAAAAATTATTGTATACAATTGATGTAAACTCCAGTAGGGTTTATTATTAGGTAAATACTAAAAGATAATGTATTCTAAATGGCAAGAATAGAAGATGGAAAGATTATGAGGAAATTCGAACTTCGTGAAAGATACGATTTCCTTAAGACAGATTAGCCCTCTCCCGAATGTGCAAGAGATTTAGTGAGCTTCTATCTCCTAGGATACAACGAATTCGTAAAGATTCTTTTGCACTAAGGATCTTCACCAACGAACTAGAACCTTAGAATTCAAAGAACACCAAAAGAAATGGGCTAGAAAGGCTAAGAAGAAAGCTAATAGAGTTTGGAAATTTTTGGATGATTTGTTTGTTAAAAATGAGCCACTATTTATAGGTGAAGAGTTACTTGAAATAGTAGAATTGTTCTATTCATTCTCCCAAGTTAATTCAATTAACTTAGTTAGATACAATATTTCACCAAAACCAAAGAGGTTTCATTCATGAACTTAATCTAACTATGGATATGAACATTCATCCCCCTTACATCCCATTAATATTGATTCATGAATTCAGTTCATTCAAATGAATCTGCAAGGACTCTTCATCTACTTGAAAAATAAATCAAGATAGATTCATGACTCGGGTTGATCAGGTCCGACGTACTCATGAATTCAAAGGTTTTATACATTTCACGTAATGTCTCTAATTTCATTTTCTAATTAATGAGAAACCAAAATTCTCATTCACATTAGCTCAAATTCTAACATTTATCACTTTTTTCCATCACCCTACTTATTGTATCTGGTTGCACAATTCTATGTGATACTATGTAATATTTTTCTCATAGATGTCTGGATAAAATTTAATTTAACGTCGAGTGGTACTAAATTTTTAGACGTCTTTGAAAGAATTATGTGACAATGAAATGGCAGGTGTGGGTGCAAATACTAAAGGAACGGATGACACATGTTTTTGTGAAGGAGAAGCAACCAATGGAGAGGATTCTGATGAAGGGAGGGATCGTGAAATAAGGAACGAGGGATTTTTAAAAGGAGATTGGGAAGGATTGTTTTGGGGAACTGAAGAGAGTTGAGGAAATGGAAAACCGCGACCCCTGCCACGGCCATGATTGGAAGACGGCTGCAATTGAGAAGGGGTATTGGACTGCTGCTGTGGAAGGTCAGTGAAAGATGTCGCGACCAAAGCGTTGGTAGCCGTGGAGAGGGAAGAAGGAGCAGTGTGCTGAAGTTGCACTTCATACAGGAAGAGCATTGATCGAGCTTCAACAAAGTTGGGTAAAGGAACGCGATGGCTAATGGTAGTAGAGACAGACTGGTAGGTCGAAGGAAGACCAGCCAGAATTTGAAACACCAAGTCATCGTCGAAGATGGGAGAACCAATGGCTGTTAATGAATCAGCCAACATCTTAAGCTTGGTAACATACTCATTAATGGTTAATTCCCCTTTCTTTAAGCTATGAAACTCCAATTTCAATTAGAGAAGGCGGGAACCAAGCTGATCGTGGAAGAGTTTCTCAATGGTGAGCCACACGTCGCGGGCAGTAAGGGAAGAATTGGGCCGAACTATGACTTGCAAAATTTCGATGGAAACAGTGGCTTGGATCCGAGTTGATGAGGAAGTGCCGTCAGAGGCAGCGAGAGTTGATGGAGGACAAGGATCGGAGCCATCGATATGACCAATCACGGCATGTTCGCGAAAGACAGGAAGAAAAAGCTCTTTCCATAACATGTAGTTTGTGAAATCCAGAACAAGAGTCACATAATTCTTAATGTTAGAGAGACCAATAGCCGGATGAGAAGGTGGTGTCGGAAAAGAATTGGGTGGTATGGCCTCGGTTGATTGAAGATCAGTTTGCTGTGAGACAGCAGAGGTTACGGCGGAGTTCATCATAGCGACAGGGAGGCAAAGCCGAAGAGAAGAAGCAGCAGGTTTTTTTTTTTTTTTTGAACTAATGAAACAGTTGCGGCAGCAAAAGGGCAGACAAAAGGTCACCGGAGATTAGCGCAGTGGATTAGCGTGTTTGACTTCGGATCAAAAGGTCGTGTGTGTGTGGGTGTGTGCCGGATGCAAAAGGGCGGCGCCGACAGGAAGTTCAAGAAAGACTGGATGATGATGATGGTGAACAGCAGCAGAAGACGAGCAAAGGAGATCCACCACCGACGAGCAAAGGAGATCAAGCAAAGCAAGGTTTTTTTTTTTTTTTTGAACTAACGAAGATCGCCGCCGACGAGCAACACACCTACTGCAAAAAATCCGCAAGTAGGGAAGAAGAAAATTGAGATTTGACACAATGATGGAGATCCGCCAGCAAGGAAGAAGACAATTGATAGTTGAGATGATGGTGGAGATCCGCCGGAAAATTGAGGAGAATATTCCAACGCCGGAAAATTGAGGAGAGTTGGGGCTTTCGGCGGTTCGGCAAAAGAAGAACAGG